ATGGCAAAATCGGAGCACGAACGCTTACCTCTCAAGCTAACAATCCAATCAAGAGTCCTCACTAGCCCAAGGTCACCAAACAGCACCCTCACAGTGTGTTTATAGCATAAATAAGAATACTTTCACTTCCCACAGTATTTGAATACTTCACTAAGATATCCGAATACTTTACTTCCCAGAAAAGTATTCTCCTTCAAGAGTATTCGATTACCTACTAATGAGTATTCGAATACAAACGAAAAGTATTCAAATACCTATCAAACACAATGCAAAAACTCGAACAGTTTATTGCATAATTCCATTTTTACGGGTCCAAATGCGATTGGGAGTCCAATAACTCCACAAACAGAAGTTCATTAACACATTTTACACTTGGTTCATCAATCTTTAAGTTGAATGATCAAAGTTTCCCTTTCTAATGGATTAATCAAACTAAAATCATGAATATACAAGGGAGGTGATCATGGTATATCTCAAGCTTCAAAAACTCATAAAATGACACTGCCTTGGAGCTTCCAAATTAGTCCCAAGGTTCTTACATTCAAGGACCACGAAAATGCACCACAAGCTTGGTCCTTTATACCAAAAGATGGCTTCTTGATGCCTTAAATGCCAAGAAAATGGTTTTCCCCAACCAAACTCAGAAACACAGCCCTTAAACCCCAACAAACAGTAGCTTACCCTCTCAGAAACTAGTTTTTCTCCTACCCCTAAGGTTGCTCTCAAGTGTCTATGAGGGTAGAAGTGAATAATCCATCATAAAAGTGATGTCTTGAGGGATTCTATGGAGGAAGGAGCAATGTTTTGGAGAAGAAGAAGAGGGACATCAGCTGAGTATCAGCCAACTCATGTAGGAGGTAATAGGAATTAACCTAAGTCTTTGTGCCACCCTCTATTTATAGTCGCATTAAGTTTAATCACACTGTATTAGCATTAATAGCTACGCTTATCATTTTAATCCCAATCTTGAGATTTTAAACCTAGCCATTTTTCTAGAATTTGTCATATTTTTATTATATTTTTCGCAGCACTTTGCCGGTACGTGCTTTTTACGTAGCCGGTATCCGTTCTGACGCCAGTTCTTATTATTTTGACTTCAAACTTTGTATTCCAGTCTTAAATATTATTCTAGTGATATATACATACTTTAATTAATTTTTCGAGATACTTCATCGGTACGCACTTATACCCTGAAGCAGAACTGGTATCTGCACTTTTCGTCAGAGAAACGACTTTCATCATTGTTAATCACTTACTATAATTATTTAAGCCTTCTCATAATTATTAGGGTCAATTATGAAATTTTTTCCTAAAATTCATATTTAAATTAATTAAATTCCTAAATTAACGGTGCGGGTTCTTACATTTACCCCACCTTTTAAGAATCATTGTTAAATTCCTAAATTATTACAGGCCCTACCCTACCAAAAATCTGGTATGGCTTTATGAATCGCGGGCTCAGCTTCCTCACTCCGAGTGCCCGTCCAACACCGGTGACAGGTGAAAGTCTCACAAACACATGCTCACCCTCACTGAACTCCAGTGGACGATGCTTGACATCGTAGTAACTCTTCTGGCGGTTCTGCGCCTGCTTCAGCTTTTCCCTGATCATCTGGATCTGCTGGGTGGTATCTTGGACAAAGTCTAAGCCAAACAACTCCTTATCTCCAACCTCCGACCAACAGGTAGGAGTCCGACACCTCCTACCAAACAACGCCTCGTAGGGTGCCATGCCCAGGCTAGCATGAAAACTGTTGTTGTATGAAAACTCAACCAATGGCAAGTACCTATCCCATGCTGAGCCTTGCTCCAATGTGCAAGCCTTCAACATGTCCTCCAAGGTCTGGATGGTTTGCTCAATCTGTCCGTCAGTTTTAGGGTGATAGGTTGTACTCAATCTCAACTGAGTCCCAAAAGTTCCCTGCAGCGCATCCCAGAACCGAGATGTGAACTTCGAATCCCTATCACTAATGATACTCTCGATCACCCCGTGAAGCCTCACGATCTCGCGAACATACAGTTTGGCCAACTGCTCAGTAGTGAAGCTCACCTTTACCGGAATAAAATGGGCAGACTAAGTCAATCTGTCCACAATGAGCCAGATAGAGTCACAACCAGCTTGTGTCTTAGGCAAGCCCACCACGAAGTCCATGGAAATCCTCTCCCATTTCCACTGTAGAATCTCAAGAGGTTGAAGCTTACCAGACGGGTTCTGGTGTCCAATCTTCACTTTCTGGCATATCAAACACTTGGACACATAAACAACTATATCCTTCTTCAAGCCCTGCCACCAGAAATTTCTCTTTAAGTCCTGGTACATCTTAGTAGCACCAGGGTGGATAGTGAATTGGCTCTTATGAGCATCTGTCATCACCTCCTCAGTCAATGGACCTCGAGGAATCACAATCCTTTTCTGGAACATAAGCAGTCCATCCTCATTCCAAGACACTCCATCTTGGTTCTTCACATAATCAAGGAACTCTCTTTGCACCTGCGCCTCTTTAATCTTTTCCATCAATTCATTTTCGACTCTCACAGTCTCCATCTCGAGAAGTGCACCCCCAAACAAAGAGGTCAATAACAAGTCTCAAAATTTCTCAATCACATCATAGTCACCCATCGTCAAACGGGATAGACTCATGGATTTCCGACTCAAAGCATCGGCTACCACATTGGCCTTGCCAGGATGGTATTTTAACTCAAAGTCATAGTCCTTTAGAAATTCCATCCATCTCCTTTGTCTCATGTTTAGCTCCTTCTGATCAAACAAGTACTTCAGACTCTTGTGGTCACTGAACACGGCAAACTTCATGCCAAACAGATAATGCCTCCAAATCTTGAAAGCAAAAACGATCGCAACCAACTCCAAATCATGAGTCAGATAGTTCTCCTCATAAGGCTTCAACTGTCTCGAAGCATAAGCAATCACTTTACCCAACTGCATCAACACACAACCCAGCCCATTTCCGGAGGCGTCACAATAAAACTCAATCTGCTCTGCAGGATCAGGAAGGACCAACACTGGTGCAATGGTCAGTCTCGCCTTTAACTCCTGAAAGCACTCCTCACACTCGTGGGTCCACATAAATGGAGTCTCTTTTCGGGTAAGGCAAGTCAATGGTAGAACCATCTTGGAGAATCCCTCAATGAACCTCCTGTAGTACCTAGCCAAACCCAAGAAGCTCCTTGCTCCTGTAACCATTTTGGGCCTCTCCCAATCTAACACGGCCTCAATCTTGTTCGGGTCTACTGCAACTACTTCAACAGAAATCACATGCCCCAGGAATTTTACCGACTTGAGTCAAAACTCACACTTTGAAGGCTTTGCATAAAACTTTTTCTCCTTCAGCACCTGCAACACGATCCTCAAGTGCTCTGCATGCTCCTCCTCCGTCTTGGAGTAAATCAAAATATCGTCAATGAAGACGATCACAAATCGATCCAAATACGGCTAGAAAATACGGTTCATGTAGTCCATGAACACTGCGGGTGCATTGGTGTGTCCAAACAGAATCACCAAATACTCATAGTGACCGTATCTCGAATGAAACACGGTCTTGGGAACATCCTCCGGCTTAACCCGAATCTGATGGTATCCGGACCAGAGATCAATCTTCGAGTATACGCAAGCACCCCTAAGTTGATCCAACATATCATCAATACGAGGAAGATGATACTTTTTTTTTTGTAAATAAGGAAGAGGATACTTGTTCTTGATTGTCACCTTGTTCAACTGTCTGTAATCGGTGCACAATCACATGGTCTCATCTTTCTTTTTCATAAAATGACCGGTGCTCCCCATGGAGACACGCTCGGACAAATGAAGTCTTTCGTCGAAAGATCCTCAATATGCTTCTTCAGCTTTGCCAACTCTAGTGGAGACATCTGAAAGGGAGCTAATGAAATAGGCCCCACACCAGGCAACAAATCAATGGACAACTCTATCTCCCTCTGTGGCGGAAACTCAGGAATCTCCTCAAGAAACACCTCGAGGAATTCTCCCACCACAAGAATGCCAGTGATATCCTCCTGTGTCCCACTCACCAAACCTCCCAACATGACATATCCAAATGCCCCTGCTCTCAAGGCTCTCCTAGCCTGCAGCACTGAAATATAAGGCGAGAAACTGGCTGTGAAATCACACAAAGACATCACCACTCACTTTGCACAGCAATCAATCATCATACAATTCTTGGACAACCAATCCATGCCAAGGATTATCTCCAAATTAGCCACCGACAATCCAATCAGATCAACCAAAAACTTACAGCCGTCCTATTGAAATACGACATCTTGATGTACATTGGAGGTATCAACCTTTTCTCCGGTGGCGATAGTCACCCACAACGGTGGAGAAAGCACAGTAATGGGCAACTCAAGCCCTACAGCAATCAGGATTGCTATAAAAGAATGCGTAGCCCCGGAATCAAATGACACATCAACTGCAGATCCACCAATAGAAACGGTACCTCTCACAAGGTCCAGAGCTCGGTCCAACTGCTGTCGATCCAAAGTATAAACACGACCAGTGGCAGGTGGCACCACAGGTGCCGCTATAGGTGCAATAGGAATCATCTGCAATGGAATCGCCTGAACCGCAGCAGCTCTCGCAGTAGACGACAGACAATCTCTAGCATAGTGGCCCTCCTTGCCACAGTGAAAGCAAATGACCTGGCCGGTAGCACACAGCCCCACGTGGAATCTCCCACAATCGGTACATCTGGGAGTATGAGGTCTAGTTGAACTCCCCTGCGTAGAAGTCCTCTTGAATTGGCTAGGCGCCTGCTTAGCAGCCAACTACTTTCTCTTTCCTTTTCCATCAAACTTCTTGTCCTTCCAGGAAGTGGAACTACTGGTTCCTTTTACCTCAGCTACTTTGGCCCTCTTGGCCTTGCTCACAATATAGACATCCTAGATGCCACCACATTGCTGAATCAACGTGCCGAAGCCTCTAGATGCAGCTCTAGCAATCCTGTCTGCAATCTCCTCATTAAGTCCCCTACGGAACTTAGCAGCCAAAAGGTCGGCGCAAGCATAGAAAAACGAAAATGTGCATATTTGACTAGTCCATTGAACCTAGCCAAATACTCGTCAATCGTCAACGAGCCCTGCACCAACACGTCGAACTCCCCTTGTTTCTGCTCCTGCGCGTCGTAGGGAAAATATCTCCCAAGAAACAGCTCCTCAAAGAATGGCCATGTAATCACATGACTATGCATCTCATAAGCTCGATAGGTGTTTGTCTATCACTTATGTGCGTCTCCCTCCAGAAGATAGGTGGCAAACATTAGCTTCTGGGGGTCTATACTCTACATCACCCTGAATATCTTGTCCAGGGCCTGAAGCCATCTAGCAGCAGTAATAGGATCATAAGATCCATCAAAAGAAGGCGGCTTATGCTTGCGAAAAGCATTTAGCCGACGGTCGATCGTATCTCTGTCCTTTGCGGGCTCATGGTAAGGCTGCATCATCCCAGAGAGATGACTAACACCCTTCATATGACTAAGACTCTCATCCTGATGACTGGGTGGAGGCGATGATGCTGGTGGCGTTGAAGGTGCTGGAGGAGGATACTTGCCACCAACAGGACCAGTCCTCATCTCCTCCAACATGTCCCTCATCATGGTCATGTTCCCTAGGCGATTTGCCTCCAGTACATCTTTTGTGGCTTTCCTGTTCGCCTCTCTGACGGCGTCCAGCATAGCCTGGTTAGCCACTCTCATGGCCTCCTGGTCGGCTTGTCGAGCCGCCTGCATCTCAGCTAATGCAGCCAGGACTGGGTCAGGCTCTCTAGTCTCTCGGTCCCTCCGAGGTAGTACCATGACTCTGCACATGTTACACAAAGAATGAGTTGATCAGGCCCACCCAATGTGGTCACACATGCTTCGTCATAGTAAAACCCAAAAGAAACTCAAAAGACAAAACACACAACTAAACATCCTAAGTTATTGCAATACATACAGGCTTTTTCCCTAGAAAGTGCTCTGATACCATCAAATGTAACACCCCGTGTATACCTGGATTGTTATCATATTACCGTATTAAGCTGCACTTAATTAAAATGCGGAGACTAACTTTTTCTTTTCAATTATGACATCATTAATATTAACCAAGTTGATTACTTAATCCATTTTCAAAATAATGCCTGTATGTAAATTGCAATTAAACAACTAACTGGAATACCTCATATATAAATGTGTTTCTAGTCACATAACTACAACACGTAGACCGGAGATATCCTGATCATTTATACAACTCAAGCTAAAAGCATAAATAACATCAACGTGGCATGGACAACCCCATGCTCACCAAATAAGGCAACAAAGCCCAACACAGTCTCAGCTCAATAATCAATATAATGACAATATAACATAAATCAGCATCCAATCATAACAGTATAATCAGTATGCATCAGTCAACTAAGCTCCGGCCTCCTGCCACCCAAGGTATCAATCCCCAAGGTAACTGAACCTGAAAATGTGCCCAAACGTAGGGTGAGATCTCTAAAAAAATCTCTGTAAGACAAGGGGTCCTCAAGGATCTCTCCACCCCAAGCTCACTTACATATGCAGTATAATTTCGAAAGCAGTAAAACAATATAAGTTTCAAAATTTGTGCAATGCAGCATATAATCATGTCATGTGTGTCAAAATCCTACTGGCCAAAGAACATGCAGGAATTACATACGTCTACAACCTACAATCAGTGCAAGACGCTACTTGCACCCACCCACGGAATCACCATCTTGTATGACACTATATACTCAGACTTACCGTCTAGGTAGAACAACACATACATATTATAAGGCACTTGCACGTAACAATTCAATAGCATTTCAAATATCAATACATGAAAACACATCATGCATAAAAACCATCCTTCCATGAGGTATGGTAGAACCAACAATGGCAAAACCGAGGATACAGAGGCTTACCTCTCAAGCTAACAATCTAATCAAGAGTCCTCACTAGCCCAAGGTCGCCAAATAGCACCCTCACAGTCTGTTTATAGCATAAATAATCATCATTATTCATAGCCCAACGTTTTACTAAGTGATTAAGACTTTCCAACTTGTTTTAAGTGATTTTAGGCTAATTCTGCATGAGGTATTCGAATACTCCTCCATAAGTATTCGAATACTCCTCGATGAGTATTCGAATACTCCATGTCTCCAAAAAGTATCTGAATACTTTCACTAAAGTATTCGAATACCACATGGTATCCGAATACTTTCACCATACTATTCGAATACTTCACAGTATTCAAATACTTCCACTAAGGTATCTAAATACTTTTCTTCCCAGAAAAGTATCCCAATACTCCTTCAAGAGTATTCGATTACCTGCAGATGAGTATTCGAAAACTACACGAAAAGTATTCGAATACTTATCAGACAAAATGCAGAAACTCGAGCAGTTTACTGCATAATTCCATTTTTACGGGTCCAAATGCGATTGGGAGTTCAATAACTCCACAAACAGAAGTTCTTTAACACATTTTACACATGGTTCATCAATCTTTAAGTTGAATGATCAAAGTTTCCCTTTTTAATGGATTAATCAAGCTAAAATCATGAATATACAAGGGAGGTGATCATGGTATACCTCAAGCTTCAAAAAATCAGAAAATGGCACTGCCTTGGAGCTTCCAAATCAGTCCCAAGGTTCTTACTTTCAAGGACCACGAAAATGCACCACAAGCTTGGTCCTTTATACCAAAAGGTGGCTTCTTGAAGCCTTAAATGCCAAGAGAATGGTTTCCCCCAACCAAACTCAGAAACACAGCACTTAAACCCCAACAAACAGTAGCTTACCCTCTCAGAAACTGGTCTTTCTCCCACACCCAGGTTGCTCTCAAGTGTCTATGAGGCTAGAAGTGAAGAATCCATCATAAAAGTGATGTCTTAAGGGATTCTATGGAGGAAGGAGCAACGATTTGGTTAAGAAGAAGAGGGACATCAGCTGAGTATCAGCCAACTCACGTAGGAGGCAATAGGAATTATAGTCGCATTAAGTTTAATCACATTGTATTAGCACTAATAGCTACACTTATCATTTTAATCCCAAACTTGATATTCTAAACCTAGCCATTTTTCTAGGATTTGTCATATTTTTATTATATTTTCGCAGCACTTTGTCGATACGCGCTTTTTACGTAGCCTGTATCAGTCCTGACGCCAGTTCTCATTATTTTGACTTCAAACTTTGTATTCTAGTCTTAAATATTATTTTAGTGATATATACATGCTTTTCATAATTTTTTGAGATACTTCATCGGTACGCACTTATACCGTGAAGCAAAATCGGTATCTGCACTTTTCGTCAGAAAAACGACTTTCATCATTGTTAATCACTTACTATAATTATTTAATCCTTCTCATAATTATTAGGGTCAATTATAGAATTATTTCCTAAAATTCATATTTAAATTAATTAAGTTCTTAAATTAACGGTGCAGGTTCTTACACCACCTGATCAGCTTGTCTTGCCGCCTGCATCCTAGCTAAGGCAGTCGGGATAGGATCAAATTGTCCCTCGCTCGTCTCCCAAGTTCTCCTAGGAGGTGCCATAACTCTACACATGTTACACAAATGACGAGTTGATCAAGTCCATACAATGTGGTCACACAAGCATTATCGTAGCAAGACCTAACAGAAACTCACAAGACAACTTAGACTACCAAGGCATCTTAGGTTATTGCAATACATATAGGCTTTTTCACTATAAAGTGCTCTGATACCATAAAATGTAACACCATGTGTGCACCCAGTGTATTAAACATATAAATGGTAATAAGCGCAGCTCAATAAATGCGGAAGCTCAATTTTTTTCAATTATGAACCTTATCATATTAATCAAGTGGATTTACTCTTTTTTTTCAAAAAAATCGTCTGTATGTATATTGCAATAAATAATTAAACTGAATAACCTCTTAATATAAAACTACAACACATAGACCAGACAATGTCTTGATAAAATCATACAATTCAGTCTGAAATAACACAACTTATACCAATGTGGCATGAACAACCCCCATGCTCACCAAATAAAACAAATAGTCAAATCATGTCTCAAGTACAGTAGCTATATATAATAATAAGGCATAATCATATCCAAATATGAGAAGAAAGAAGAATGCATAATGCCAGCTCAACTCCGGCCTCCTGCCACCAGAGTTCTCAGCCTCAAGAACACCTGTACCTGACAATGTGCCCCACACGAGGTGAGATCTCTAACAAAAAATCTCAGTAAGACAAGGGGTCCTCAAGGATCTCTCCACCCCTAGCTCACTTACATGTGCAATATAAGTTCAAAAATGATAACAGTAGTATAATGGCAAAATCTGTGCAATGCAGCATATGTCCATGTCATGTATGTATGCATCCTACTGGCAAGAGAACAAAACGTAGGTATTATGTACGTCTACAACCCATAGTACAAGTAGTCCACCATGTACCTCACATACGGAGTTATCGTCTTGCATGTGGCCTGACATGCGCAGAGATTACCGTATCGTGTGGAATACCCCACATACATATACATATGGTAAAAGCATTATAATAATAATCCAACTCAACAACATATTCAATATTCATCATGTAAACATATATATTTTCAGAAAAACACATCATGCATATAAACCATCCCTCCATGAGGTTTGGTGGAACCATCAATAGGTAAAACTGAGGACACGAAAGCTTACCTGAAATGCCAAAATCCTTATCCAAAGACTCAGTATACCCAGATACGCCAACAGTCACACAATCCGACAGTTGCAATCTGTTTTATATCAAGAATATTATTAATATTCAGAATCCTAAATTTCATATCAATTGAGCAATGCTTTTTTTTCGTTTAGTGACTCAAGTCCCTTCTAAACCATAACTATAGCATATTAACCCTCACTAATATTTGTATTTATACTTTCCAATAGTAGCACTGACTTCCTAGGGTACCATACCCTAATTGGGACTTTTCCATGCAGACAGAAGACGAAAACTGCATATTTTTCTGCATAATCCGCTAGTTCCATGGCTTCCAAGGGTCTAAGGTCCAATATTTCATCAAACAGAAGTTCAAACCACATGCTTAAACATAACTATACCATATTTTACATGATTCATTAAGGGTGTGCATGACAACCATTCTATTTCCTGACACTATTTCTAAAAAGAAATAATTATTTTCTATTTCTCTGCCTTAGAACAATTTCTGAGGAAAAAATGTGTTTGATAACATATTCTATTTTTATTTCAAGAATAAGAATTGTGTTTGATAACACAACAAAGAGTATAACAAAAAATTATTCCTATTAAGCATAAATTTTTTTCGGATCATCATTTTACTTTCATATGTGTGGTGGTGGTGGTGGCAGTGGCAGCAGTTGTGGTGGTGGTGGCAGTGGCATGGTGATGGTAGGGGTGGTGGTGATTGCAGTGGCTGCAGCGATGGTGGTGGTAATGGTGGGGATGGTGGTGGCGACGGCGACGATAGTGGTGGCGATGATGGTAATGGCATAGTGGTGATGGTGGTGATGGTGGTGGTGATGGCAGTGGCTGCAGCGATGGTGGTGGTAGTTGGTGACAGTGGTGGTAATGGTATGGTGGTGGCGGTGGCGGAGACGGCAGTTGCTACGATGGTGGTGGTGGTTGGTGATGGTGGTAGTGATGGTGGTGGTCGTGGTGGTAGGTGTAAGAACCCGCACCGTTAATTAAGGTATTTAA